ACATAGTAACGACCACCACTCTTCTATATATATATATATATATATATATATATACATATACATATACATATACATATACATATACATATACATATATATATATATATATATACATATACATATACATATATATACATATATATTCCGCTACCGTGCTTCAATACATCAGTATGAATAGCATATATGCATATGACTTGCATGCACAAGCAGAACAACTTGTATGCATATGGATACCATGTCCAAACTTGAAGGCCATGCATACACATAGACACTATAGATACACCTTCACGCTATCGACACATATGTCTACGAATGACACTACTATAGCCAAATATAGAGACCACAGATATATACAGATACAACACGAACAACACAACTATGGCCATATGCAAAAACCCTGTTTAAGCAGGCTTGTACAATGGGGCGCGTACATGGAACATGGAGGGCCAATCTGTGTTTGTTTGTAAGGCTAATCCGATCCGTCCACGATCGCCTTAGGCAACCAAAAACCGAGTACTTGAATTGATAGTGTATAGCACTATGGATACTACTCACATTTCATCACGTCACGTATACTCGCAACCCTCTGTAAATATACCTGAATACAAACTTCAATTCATATATATATATATATATATATATATACTTGTATAGATAGTATACATGTATAGATATAATTATAGATATATAGTTATAGTTTTAGATATGAATATATAGATACAAATAGAGATATAGATATATACAAGTATATCTATGCATGTCGACACAGGGATGTATATTCAAATATGCTTCCAGCTGTGACTAGAAACAGACCCGTGTTGTCAAATAACTACAAGCACGTGTCCAAAGGCTACATACAATCTCCTGGTATTTAGGGTTTTAGGGTTTGGTGATGCCTCTAAATAACAACATGCACATTTCCATAGAACTGACACATCTGTGTCTTCCCACACTGTACATCCGCTGACCGTCACTCGTAGTTGCACTCTCATACAGACGCACTCACCAGTAAAGCCTGCGTTAGATTAAGTTCCTTTTGTTTGAGCTTAATCATTCGCAGCTGTATCTCTGTATTCGGGTCCATGACGAAGTCTTCGCCTTTAGCCCCGTCTTGGCTATCTTTGCGTTCGTCATCATGATCATCTGCAACGGTATTCATTGATTCATTTCGGCCTATGTTCGCCGACATGGTCAACTTCTGCGTTTCCCTGTCCAGTTGAGCGTATAACCGCTGCAAAATAGCACACAGGCATATCAATACAGAACCGTAGGTGTGAAAATATTGCCATAAACCCACACACACACACATATATATATATATATATATATATATATACATATTCATATTCATATACATACACACACATATATATATAATATTAGAAATTAAAAAACAATAATAATAATATTAATAGAATACCAGGCTCATTATTGATCGTACAGAGTACGTTGACTACGTTGCGGTGTTTTCTGTTGCGGAAATCGTTCATTTCTGATTCGCCCCTTGCAGCCGAGCGTATCCCACCACACACAAGCAAGTCAATGCGAACGCACAGTTGCACAAACGATGGCATACACATGTAAACGGGCAGCCAGACAAGGGATTCGGAATAGGCATCAAACCTTTATCGGATATGTTTCAAAGTGCCGATTTCTGCACTTCCCCGTCACCACACACTAGCATGACAATGGGAAAGCTTGCAACAACACTGACATATCAATATAGACGTGTAGGAAGCCACGGGTATCCTGAACATGCATCGGGTAACGATACTATTACGGCACACAAGTTCGGGTATCTATCGATTGATTATGATTGGCGGGATGCATGCGATATGCTAGTGCATTCTACTATAACTACATCGGATACATTCCAACGGATACGGTTTCTGCATTTCCGCTTCCAGCTGGGCAAACACGTCGCCACTAAATTGCACACAAACAAGATAAGCGTGGGCCTAAAAACATATTTGGCACATAAGCTTGAACTTTTCGCAAAAAGAAAAACAGAATTTGAGGATATTCGTGTGCAATTGGTACATAAAATCAAATTCCATAGCGGACCTAATTATTCGTACACATATTGGCTCGAAAGATGGAATTTTCAGCTTAAGAACGGCCCTGTATCTAATCTAGAAACCGGTTTACCAAACTATTTATATATATATATATATATACAAACATATACATATACATATACATATATATATATATATATAAAATATATACGCATGGTTACTTGCATACATGCATGCATGCTTACTTGCATACATGCATACATGCATACATGCATACATGCATACATGCACATATATATATATATACATATATATACGTATACATATATATATATATAGATATAGATATATGTATATGT